GTGCTAAGGAGGATTATAATTATGTGCTGGGAGAATTCAAATGTATGCGCTTAGAAGGAGGAGAATTATAATATTTTTATAGGATGGAAAATTTTATTTCACACATTTGAAAACTTAACTATGTTTATCTGTCTGTCTGCTGTTCTATTTATTTGCTGTTGAGTTAGATATATTTATCAAAACATCATATTCACTTTCTATACAATAACTATATAATTTATTTGTTTTTCTTTTACAGACAGGATTTCATCTATAATCCTAACTGTATTACTATTTCCCATGGGTCTGAGACTGGCCTTGAGTTCATGACAATTCTACCTTAATCTCTAGCTCTTCTTTATTAACTTAAATATTATATTAAAATGAGGACTACTGAGAACTCAAGAACAATGGCAATGGGTTTTTTGATCCTATTGCATGTAATGGCTTTGTGGGAGCCTAGGCAGTTTGGATGCTCACCTTACTAGACCTGGATGGAGGTGGGTGGTCCTTGGACTTCCCACAGGGCAGGGAACCCTGATTGCTCTTTGGGATGAAGAGGGAGGGGGACTAGGTAGGGGGAGGGGGAGGGAAATGGGAGGCAGTGGCAGGGAGGAGGCAGAAATCTTTAATAAATAAATAAATTTAAAAAAGAAAAAAAAGAAAATATCAAATATTAAAAAATGAATAAATTATAATTTTACTGTAATGAAGCAAAACATATCAGATATGCAATAATAAAAATCCTTAAAAACACTGGGAAATTTTTAGGAAACATATATCTTGCTAATATTAAACTAAGAGAAAGGAAACCATTAAATGCTTGATACTGTGGATTAAAAATATAATAGCAGAGGCTTGGGAAACAGCTCATTGGTTAAGAGCTTGTTGTACACACATGAGATCAGAGTTTAATCACTGGTACCCATGTTGAAAAAAGCCAGGCATGGTGGCATACACTTAATCCCGGCTCTGGGTAGTGGGAATGGGGAGGCCCCTGGGGCTTGGTGACTAGTTAGCCTCACCAAATTACCAAGCTTCAGGTTCAGTGCAAGGTCTTTTCTGAAAAAGTAAGGTGGTGTATGATTGAGGAAGACACTTGAAATAAATCTCAGGCCTTCATACAGAAGTGCACATACACACTGGAGCACCCATATATCCAGTAGCATGTGTGTAAATGTGTAATGCATGCACACACTCTCTATATAGTGTAGACATATCTCATATGTCATAGCATGTTCTAAGTAAATATTACTTAAATAAACAGATCATTGAATAAGATGGAAAAACAAAGGAGAAATTCTTCTAATCTTATCTTATGACATAGGAAAGGCTGGAGAGATGGCTCAGCATTTCAGAGCAGGACTGATTTTCCAGAGGACCTGAGTTCAATTCCCAGCAGCCACTCTGAGACTCACAAGTATTTCTAACTTTGGTTCCAGGGGATCTGATGCCTGCTTTTGGCCTCTGCAGGCACTATATGCACCGGGTTCATGGACATACCTGAAGGTAAAATGCCCATACATGTAAACTTATAAAATAAAACAAAAACCAGGTAGGAATATCACCGGGAAGGAATATTTTGATCTGATTATGCTTAGAGAATCGTTATTGGTATTAGATTCATATATGTGTATTTTTTATGTGAGCATTTATGTGACTATGTATATATGTATCATAATATATTATATATATGTATTATAATCATGATGGGTTTAGTACAAAAAGTGAAGATGCTTAACATTTACAACTTCTGTGTAACCCCACAAGTGCACAGTAAATGACATCAAGCCTTTGAGTGTCTCAGCAGGTGCAGAGCAGTCATCTGATAAAATCTTTCATTCTCTCACTATGAAAACCCTCAGAAACATTAAAATACATGACTTTTCTTTCCTTTAAATTGTGTTTACTTACTTCTTTACTCATTGTGTGTGTGTGTGTGTGTGTAGTGTGTGCGCATATGATTGCAGTGCCCAGTCTCACAGTACAGATATGGATGTCAGAAGACAGTTTGCAGAGATCCGTTCTGTCCTTCTACTCTGTGGGTTTTGGTGTTTCCCCTCCGGTCATCAGTCTTGGCAGCAAGCCCCTTGCCCAGTAAGCCACCTCACCAGCTTATCAGTGATTTATTTATTTTTTTACTTGATAAAAATAATTGAGAAAAGCTCTAAAAACAAGTCCTGTACTGGTGGTGAATAGAATTCCCTTTGCCTTCAGGAGCAGGAATCAAGAGCTCATCTGTTATCATACTGGAGGTACCGGGTACTTATGGTAAGACCAGAAAAAAGTCATCTGGATTAAAAAAAAAACACTCAGCGCATTATGATAGTTAGAATTTGCAACATTTATACATTTTTATATTTAAAATTTTAAACCCCAAGAAAATCTAAGAGAATCCAAGAGACTCGTTAGGGCCAATTAGAGAATTTAGTAAAGTGAAAACGAATTATCAGTATGCAAAGGTTCATTGTATTCATGTGCTGTAAAAAATGGAATATGATCTGGCAGGTTTTACCTTGTAACGGTAACACATATTATAATATACTCAGGAATAAATATAATCAAAGATATGGAATGAGGATTTCAGCCACTAGGGAAAAGACACAAATAACAAAGACGTCCCTTGTTTTGCTAAGATGTCTGTAGGCGCGTCGGGTAGCTCAGCAATGTCCACGATAACCTGCCCTTTGTACCTTTTTGTTCTGCCGCGGCAAGGCTGTCTTTGTGGACACACGATCTGTAAACTCACACAGGGCTCACACACCCCCAGAAGGACCCATTGCTTCACTGCTTTGCTGTGTCATTTCAAAGTCTTGGTAATTTCATTTTTCAACTCTGATTTAGTAAATGTAGTTAGAAGAGATGAGGAGACACATGTGAACAGAGGCACTATGTGTAGTGTGGGTATCCATCATTCCCTGCCACTTCATGTGTGTAGTCTTGGCCATGCCCCATGAGCACTGAGGTCTATTGGCCCCGGAGGCATGGAGCTAGCAAGACTCGGGGTGAGCCTGAGTCAGTGTGGTACTAATCTCAGTAAGGCTGGAGGTGACAGCCCTGGGAAGCTATACTTTTTATTTGGGACAGAACTTGCTTTGAACACACGAAAAATGTTTGAACACATGAGGAATGCCATTCTAAGAAATGTAAACAACCCAGGACACTTATCATGCCCTCCCTTTTTTCTTTTTAAAAGTTTATTAACTAATTATTTTATTTATTTTACATCCTGATCGCATATTCTGCTCCCTTCTCTGCTCCCGTTGCCCACCCATCATGCCTTCCTTCTACTTCCCGTCCCTCCACTCCCGTGCACCCCATTCACTCCTCCTCTGTCTCTGTTTAGAAAGGTCCAGGCCTCCTATGGGTATCAACAAAACAAGACTCATCAAGTTGAGGCAGTACAAAGCTATCCCCCTGCATCAAGGATGGACTATAGCCAGCATGGGGAATAACTTCCCCAAACTCAGATCAAGGGCTAGGGGCAGATACTGATCCCACTGCTGGGACCCCCAAAACAGACCAAATTCCACAACTGTTATGCATATACAGAGGGCTCGCCTGGTTCCATGCAGGTTTCTTAGCTGTTGGTCCAGAGTCCATGAGCTCCCAGGAGCTCAGGTGAGTTGCCTCTGTGGGTTCCCCTGTCATCACTGACCTTGGCACCCTCCCCAACCCCTGTCTCCTACAATCCCTCCTCCTTCTCTTCAAAAGGACTTCTGGAGCTCAGCCCAGTGCTTGGCGGTGGATCTCTGCATCTGCTTCCATCAGTAACTGGATGAAGGCTCTCTGATGACAATTGGAGTAGTAAATCACCAATCGAATTAGAGTAGAAGGCCAGTTTAGGCACATTCTCCACTATTGCTAGGAGTCTTACCTGGTGTCATCCTTGTGGATTCCTGGGAGTCTCCCTGGTACCAGGTTTCTCCATAACCCTGAAATATACCCCCGCCCCCTTCAGCCACCCCATCGAGACTTCTCTTCTTTACCTTCCCCCTCCATCCTGCTTCTCTTCTTTTATTTCATTTATGACACAGTGGGCTTCAGAGACTGCTCAGTCAGTATAAGCTCCTCCTGTCTTTCAAGTGAAAAGGTCTGATTTTGACTCCCCATAGCCTATAAAGATGCTGGACATGGCAGTGGGTCTTTGTAATCCCAAAGGATTACAAGGGAGATGGAGACAGAACTCCTGGGGCTCAATAGCCATCTAGCCTTGCCTAATTGTAGAAACACCATCTCTGAGTAGGTGGACGATACCTGAGATTTCCTCTGGCCTCCACTTGTGTGCACACAAGGACACATGCACCTATTCCCACCCCCACCCCCCATTAAAAAATGAGGAAAGGCAGGTCTAGGGTAACGATTGTTCCCTTTCTTTCCTGTCATTTCCATTTGTCAGGGATGTGAAGATAAAGGGTGTTGGCAGGATGTGTGCTCATCAAAACTTGAAACCGTGTGGGTGTGGTACAGTGTTTCCTCAGCTGGGTGAGAATGAAATAGGTGTGCACGCGTGAGCCGTGAGCTATCAGTAACACACCTTTGATTCTTCATATTCACCAAATCCTCTTCTACCATGTTTAGCAGTGGCACCAGGGGCCAGTGACAAGGCTCAACGGATAATGGCATTTGCTGCCAAGCCCGATGACTTGATTTGATCCTTGCATCCCACTTGGATCGTGGGTTAAAGCTGACTCAGGCAAATTGTCTTTTGATTTCCACATGTGTGTTGTTCACGCACACACATACACCAAAATAAATAAACATTAGAAAAAAACTACATAGTTAAAAAATTTTTTCCAAAGCCCAACAACTCGGGTCTGGGGCAGGAGATTTAGCTTCATGATAGAGTGACTGCCTCCATACCAAGGCCCTGGGTTCCATCTCCAGTATTGCAAAAACCAAACAACAAATAAAACACAAATCAAACCAAGAAACTGGTATTGCACAACACAGGGGAAACTGCTGAAATTTGTGCTAAAAATTGATACTTAATTTTTCTTTTCTGAAAATCTTACGTAGAAAATGAAGCACTATGACACACGAGGAAAGAATCTATAGGGGAAAAATGAAAAAGGTTTGTATCGTACTACTTTTAACTAAACTTCTTTCTTAGAGGCCCAGCATTTTCATTTTTGGATTGAGCAATTAGGTAGCCGACCCTGTCTGTTACCTCAGCTTATTGCTCGTCCTTGTGTCCTTCCTCTATTGCAGTCATTCTGAAATGGCAAGGGAGCTTTCTGACTGGAGGCCTCAAATCTTGTAGTTGAGGCATGAAAAGAGTAGGAGAACTGGTGACCGTGAGCTTTTGTGTTTTCACGGCCTTGGCCTTTCTGAAGAATTTCACAGCCTCTCCACAAGCAGTTCGCCAACTCTGGGCCCCACGGATGTTTTCAGCTGAGAAAAAGAACGGAACAGGAAGCATCTGGCAAAGGGAAATAGAACCAACCAATCCAACATCTGGCAGAAAATACCGTCTGAGCAGCTGGCCAGCTTTGTCCTTGGCAGGACCAGGTAGGCTTCGGTGGCTATCTATAGCCAGTGTCCGTCACAACCGATTTGCTCTGCTTTGGCTGTTTAAAGCAGATACAGACGTGTAAACAAATGAGTAGGGCTGTCCTCCAGTATATACTTGCCTTGTAAAAATAAGAAGTGGGTCAGACATGGCCCACGTTAAACACTTAGCTAATTCCTGGATTAGCTTTTGTATTGCTTTGATTAGAAATATCAGGCTAAGGGGAGATGGTACCCAAGTACAGCTATTCACTAAATGCTTACAGTGAAGCTAGGCAAGTTTGTTATCACGGAAGAAAGCAATTTGTTGGGGCATCTGATAGCAAATATGACATCACAATGAAATCTCGATTTAAAGGAAAAGGGCTAAAAATGTATAGATGATAAGCCTTACTGTAAAGCTAAAATTTCTCCCATATTTTACAAATCCTCTGCAATTTCAGTCAAAGTTCCTGTGGAATTTTTTTTCTGAAACTAATGTGGAATAACAACCAACAGGAAGGATTTTTAAAAAGTGTAGACAGTTTTAGAGATGTATGGTGGATACACCAGGGATCTTGACGCAGCTCATGGTGATACTGGTCATGAGGCAAAAACTAAGAGACTGACGTGAGTTCTGGTCTAGAACAAGGACTGATAAAACAGAAAAGAATCTTCAGGACTAGATGTGGCTGTATGTGTCAGAAGAGCTAGGGAAAAGGATAAATGTCACATTCCATCTTTCCAAACCTAAACAGTAAACACCAGGAGAATTAAAGACAAACACACGAAGAAGAAAAGAATAGGTGCTTTTCATAGAAATGTAAACTGGAATGTTAGTGCCACATGTGAGTTACTTCCTTAGGTTCTTTGGAGGTCTCAGAGAACCCAAATTAATATAGATTACTGCTATTTCTCTTGGTTGCCCACCAGAACAGAATGGTAAGATCCTATCTCTGAAGACACCACAGACATCCTGGTCACAGGATGTGGTGAAATCAAGCTGGTAATAATCAGGAATCTCCATTCCTATTGGCTAATATGAACCAAGAAGCTTCATCCCCATTGGCTGGTACTGACCAAAAAGCTTCATCTCTTGTAGGGCCGATGGGTCTACCCCTGCTCCTGGGTTCATTTTGAGGACAGTTTCTGGCCAGCCAGTGTTTCCTGTTTGTTCCTGTGCTCCCTCTGCCCTGCCTGGTGATTAGCTATAGGGCATTGTTTACTCCATCTTGGGTGTGGTTATTTCCCACCTGCCTGTGGGGTATTCCATTGTGCAGCAGCTAGGTATTTAAGGTTTTTCCTAAATTTGAATAAAGGGCATTTGGCTGATCTCCTTTCAAATGACCCAGGTCTCTTCTGTGTTCTTACAATCTCCAGGTCCTTGCCTGGCTCACAAATGGTACAGTGGTGCGTGAACTGTACTGAAAGTAATGCAGAAGTTACAATCTCTATTGGCTGGTACTGACCAAGAAGCTTTATCTCTATTGGCTAGTACTGACCAAGAAGCTTCATCCCTATTGGTTGGTATTGACCAAGAAACTTCATCCCTATTAGTGAGCTTTTATAGTTTTATCCAGTTGTGGACTCTCTGAGATACAATAACAACCGACCTGGCAAGAAACTCTAATTGATACAATCATAGCATGAATGTTTTGAGGTTAGTTACTTTGCTAGTGGACTTCAGGTCTGCTTCATAGTAGGGAACTCATCCTTGGTGCTATACATTTGGCCAAGAACCTGTGAAGGGGGAGGGGTGTCACAGGCCCTAGGGGAGAATGTACTCTAATTATTTTGCTAAGTAATGTATTATCAAACTTTAGATAATTAAAGAATTAAAGTGCGAATGCATTCCAGGGAGTGGGGGATATTAGTAAAGCATATAATGAAAAAACAATTCAATCTGGAATATATCAAAACCATTGGATAAAAGTGGGTGAATGTGAACCAGAGATTTTCAAAACCCAAAAGTCCCACAGCATGCAAAATTGATTTCTGTCTCTGCACTGTTGGGAACCAGAAACAGAGCAACCAACCGCATCCTGTTTTTATTCATCTCTGGTTTCCCAAGACAGAGTCTCACCCACTCGTGTGTGTGTGTGTGTGTGTGTGTGTGTGTGTGTGTGTGTGTGTGTGTGTGAAAATTCAGGAGTTATCAAGCATGTGGAATGACTGAAATTCTCATTCATTGCTGATATAATTTATAATAGCAAATACTTAGAAGCAATTTACCCAGCCAAATAACATTTTAAATCTCTATATCTGTCTTCAATCAGCCAATTATAAACCAATGAATCTATCTACTATCTACCACTTCCGCCTATCTACATATCTTTGTCTATACATATACTATAATGTATACATAGTGGTAATATTCATATAATGAAATTTCAGCTATTGAAATAATGAATTTGAGTTACAAATCAATCTAAAAATCATGTCTAAAATAAAAATATAATGTGGTAAGACAAATCGTTGCAGAGTGCTAAGGATCTTATGACATTTACATAGAAATGTAAAGTCTCATAACCATAATGTATTTGAATGTATTCTTCAGTGTTGTGCAGGAGTTTCCTCCAAGGTTAAAACCTTTCATCTTGCAGAGAAACTTTTTTGTTTTGTTTCGTTTTTGTTTTTAATTTTCGAAGTCAGGGTTTCTTTGTGTAGCTCTGACTGTCCAGGAACTAGCTCTCTATAGACCTAGCTGGCCTGGAACTCACAGAGATCCACCTGCCTCTGTCTCCTGAGTGCTGGGGTTAATTAAAGGCTACCACTGCCACACATAGAAAAACTTCTTAATATCATAAGATGTAATGGAAGTGAAACAACAGAATATTTTAGGACACAAGGTGTAGAAGGAGGTGGAAGCAATAGAAAATCCTGCGGCCGGAAGTGAGATGCTCCATCCTGCAGGGAAGCTCCATTAAGACAGGAAATAAACAATTCAGAATAGCTTAAGGAAGTTCCTGAAACTGACAAGATTCTGTAGGCTCCTTCCTCTTTCAAAAGTATATGAGCAGTAAAGACTGCTGAGAGACACTCTCAGATAAGCTGAGCTGCCTGGAAGAGGGTTAAGTCAACTGGGCTACCTGGACAGGATAGTCTCCAATCTGTTGATCTGCTTGCAGGTTGTACAGTGTGCCTCAGGTTTCTAGTTTCTGTGATCTGTCACTCATGCCGCGGTGGCCCTTAGTGATTCTCTTTTGAGTCCTTTATGTTCCTGAAGTAGCCCCTTACCCATATTTCTGTACATAACCCAATAAAACATACTGGTTTGTGGTCAGTTCCCTACCTGGGGTTGGTGTGGGAGAATTGTCTGTATTCTGTCAATCATGTTATAAATAAACGCTGACTGGCCAGGCAGGAAACATAGGTGGGAAAACAAGACAGGAAGTAGAAATGATGTAATGAGAACAGGAGAATTCTGGGAAGGAGGAAATTGATTCCTCCCGCTCCTGCCCAGACCACCGAAGCAGCAGAATGTGAGCTGCCTCACTGAAAAAAGGTACTGAGCCACATGGCTAACATATATCAGAAAAAATGGGTTAATCAAGATGTGAGAGTTAGCCAGTGAGAGGCTAGAGCTAATGGGCCAATCAGCTTTATAACTTATAGAGATCTATGTGTGATTTTCTTTGGGGTTAAACAGTTGTGGGATACCAGGTGGGGCAGAAACCCCAAACAACAAGCGGGCCTGCTCATGTTACATGGGGTCAGTAGATTCTTGTTCTTGGCCCCTGTAGGGAAAGTGGCACGCAACAATCTGCATTTGTACAGTGTAGAAAAAAATTCTCCACTGAAAGAGGAAATGCAATTGTTGACTAGGGTTATGAAATGGGCTGGGAGCAGAAATTTGTTCCATTCTGTAATGTTTATTTCTGAAACATAAAAGATTGAATGCAAATATTGCAGAATACCAGATTTGATCAAGCTAATTGGAAAGTACAGAGGTGTGTGTGTGTGTGTGTGTGTGTGTGTTTGAAAACACTCCATAATATAAATTTTAACTGGTCTCTGATGGCTGCCTTTGTTGAGTTTTATTTTTTTTATAAATTTTATGTTTTGCTATTTCCTTACATGCAAAACTATGCAGATGTGAGCCTTTTTTTTTTTCTTCAGGCATTAATCCTTGCTGGGACTGCAATGTTCTCAAAGCTCATATTGGCAAACGTGTATTAATTGCTTTTCTTGCCTTAGTGACCTGACCAGAGGCAATGTAGGGAAGGAAGAGTTTATGCCTCCATCATGGCGGGAAGGCCCCGTGTAGGAGCGGGAGGTAGCCTTATATGTTGCACCTGCATTCAGGAAGCAAAGAGTAGACAAGAAGTTGCACCAGGCTAAGAAGACTTTGCTAGCCATTGATTCCTTCCTCCAGGGAAGCTCTACCACCTAAAGGTGTCTGTATTCTTAATCAGCACCATTAGTTGGGGACCAGTTGTTCAAATGTGTGAACCTTTTGGGGACATTGTGTGTAGAAACTATAATACTAAATGACTAGTGTACCAAGAATCCTATCACTCCCAATAATTCAGTAATATGGACATGTTTTTTGCCTTAAGCCACAAGAGGGATTCTGGTGGGACCAAGGAGCAATGACAAGGGCTCTGATACTCTGAGCACTGCTTTAAGACAACCATGTCCCAAATCTTTGTTTTCTTGACCAGACCCCACTTTTGTAATTTCTGTTCTCCAGATTCCACATGGCTCTGCACTAACCCTGAGGCTTTCCTAGAGCGGCAAGTTTTACAGCCTCCACCTGAAGGCTCCTGCTCTCAGGCTCCACCTTTAAGTGAGGGCGCCTATACTACAAACTCAGTGTGGGTTGGCTCTGACTTTGTCATGTCCTTCAAACTTCTTCAGCAGGCTGTAGCTTTGGAATTGACTTGTATTTGTTCCCAGCATGCTCCACAGCATGAATGTCAGGGCCATTCTTGTGCATGTCTTTTGTGCTATCATGATTTTCCTGTTTATAACTACCCCAGGGAGGATGATGAATCATGGACTCACTTTTACGTACACCT